AAACAACTTCCACCAGATTTTGGTGGTTCATATCAACACACACTTTTTTTTTTTTTTTTTTAATTACTCTGCACCAAAGTATCCAAATGCTCTATGTTGCACGAGTCTCCCAGTTTGCATGGGTGGCAGAACAAAGTCATAGACAGCATTCTCATTCATAAGAAACTACTGGGAATTGCTCTCCTGTTTTCTAGTGGACTGTCTCCTTATCTGACAGCTACATGCTGTCATCTTTGTTTGGAATGCATAGATTCCTTGTTCTGAATGAACTGCATTACACTTGAGACTCAGCAGTCTTAATAGGCACAACCAGATGTTGCTCTATCCTACCTGAAGGGAACTCCACAAGACCATGCTCTACCTTGATCATAGCAAACTCATTTAAGACACACTGTGGATTTGCTCAATCCCTGAAGTCTGGACAAACTTAGGTCAGAACATCTGGAAAAGCCTGCTGGAACCCACTGTTTCTTTGTACTGCTAAATCATACAGAGTTTTTAATGCTCTAGATTCAAAATCATTTTCTGCTGAGTTACAAACTTGGCTAAAGCAAGGGTAGCAAATTTACAAGTCATCACTTCCACTGTTATGAGACTGTTTTTCATCCCAGCAGACAAAGCTACTAGAAGTTTTCCTCAGTTCTATATCACTTAAAGAAACTCACCCACGTCCTCAGGAACCTCTCAAACTCAAAGAAAGTAAGCAATGCTTTACCTTCCCTTGTTTGGATGTGTTAATTTTGATGGCTGATACTTTCCCTACATGATCTCCTACGAAAACACGGAGGGCAGCTGTATCCCAACACAGAGCTGTAACTTTTCTGCCCTTATGTTCAGAGGAAACATATATCCGTTCTGGCTTCCCACGACGTTCCTGATTCAGCTCCCACACTACCACAAGCCCCTGGCTGTAAAATTTAAAAGAAAACACAAGTTGAGAATAAATCTTGTAGAGGCAGGCATTCAGCACTTTATCAGTGATAAAAATGTCTTACACCAAATGGAAACCTATACAAGAAGTCCCCCTCAGATCTGGCTACATTAGAGACTGCACCCTCTCAAGAAGTGAAATGTCCTTCCTTGTGCTACCCGGCAGCAGCAGCTCTGGTTGGCTCCTCTTACACTGACTGGCATTGCCAACAAGGATGCTAAGCTTGAGGAAAAGTGCATATTCACATTTTAAACAATGTAAATGGTACCAGCTACAAATTTCACTGTGACAAGTCAATAAAGTCAATAAAGATCTTTCTTCCAAGGCTGAATGGACTCAGAAGAACGCGTACCATCATATCTTCAGGTGTATTAGCTCTCAAATAGGTATTCTGTTACAGAAGAACAATTTCTTCTTAAAATAATTACTCTTGAGATTTATTCTGTTGAGGCATCTACCAGTTAGTTTCCTACCTTGCCCCCTCTCCCTTCAAGTTCTCAGTAGACATTAATCTGAAATTTAGAAGTTACTTCACAACACTGAGCCAGCATTCAGGTTTGTAAGTATATTGCTCACCTGGTGGCAACAGCAACATAGTCTTCATCGTGTAGGCAACATGCAACTCGGGAAATGGCACCCTCCTGAAAGCAAATACAGCAGTGAGTGCAAACGAGAGATGTTCTTGTACTACCTCCACCAGGCCTCAACTTTTATCTCTATGAAATAACACAGATTAAAGCCAACAGCTGCTACTGCTCTGGTGTGGTGCAGGTGCTTTTGTTTGGATTTTGTCTGCACACAGTGAGCTTTCTCTAAAACCAACCATATATCAGCCTCTAATGTGGAAACTTAAAAGCAGTCCCTTTCTGTACGTGCAGGCGTTGCTTTGCCAGAATTAAGCAAGATGTTCTTGATCCTAAAAGATGACTGCATCCATGTTACAGAGCGGGCAACCCAGAAAACAGAATCCAGATGTAGAAACAGTAATCCCCCTTTCTTGACTTCTTTCAGAAAATAAAAAAAGCATGCTAGCTTGCTTTTTCTTTACTTACACAGAGAGTTAACATTTTGGTACTCAAACAGCACTGTTATCTACGTGTCAGCTGCTCTGGTGTCACACTGAATGGTTTCTCTCTAACTCTTATATATTCAGGTGACTTTGAGGCTGCTGTTAACTGGACCTAGTCTGCCCCTCAAACCACCTCTCTCAAACCCTATGCAAACTGTTACACCGCACACTGTGCCAACACCTCAGCACCACAGCCTTTTTCACAACGCAGCACTATGAAATCTCACCTCATTTAGACAGCTCACCAAGCTGAAAGCACACCTCCCCCAGGCTGATTTGGTGCAGGACATTACAGAATCACAGTATCACAGGATGGCTTGGGCTGGAAGGGACCTCAAGGATCATGAGCCTCCAACCCCCCTGCCTCATGTAGGGCCTCCACATTAAATACTAGACCAGGCTGCCCAGGGCCCCATACCTTATGAGTAAGGAAAAGCCTCTGCTTCCAACCATCTTTCTGGATAAGGTTCAGCCCTCCTCCTGAGGTGCCGAGAGCCAGCCACTTCTTTGACACGGTGATGCACGTGCACTGCAAGAGACAAGGGCACAATGCAGAACCTGAGCAAGAGCTACAAGAGGCACCTTTTGTTTCTATTTTAGTTCTATTTTCAGAGTCCACCACTTGCCAACTTTGCATGCTGCTCGTGAAACGCTGTCAGAACAGCCAACAAGGAATTAAAATGGTGTTCTTAGAGACTTAACGGAACTGCAAAAGACAGGACCGAGCAGAAGACATGTTTTTACCCTACGAGGACACAACAAACACAGGCTCGGAGCAGGGCTCTGCCTTCACTTCCTCATCTCCTGCAGCACCCACACAAGGGAGCATGCACACACCGAAAGGGATTACGCGTGGAGCTTAGTTAAGACAACAACCCACGCAAGGAAACCACGCGAATTAATTAAAACTAAAAGCAAACCGCTCATCACGCACCTTCAGCCGAGCGGAGTCCAGCCGCAGCGCAGACAGCAGCGGGTCTAAGCACTCCAGCTCCGCCAGCACATGGCTATAGGACTCCGGCACGGCTGCAGGCACTGCCGTGGGTGCGGCCGGCACCGAGGCCATGGCGCGCAGGGTTACAGCGGTACACGGCCAGGCGCCCCGCAAACACGCGCCGCCGCACGCCAGCGGCCAGCAGCCACCGCCTCGCGGCACGTGACCCGCGGAGGGGGCGGGGCGAGCCACTCGGGGCCGCCGCCCGCTGCGTCACGCCGGGCGCGCGGCAGGAAGCTGCGTCACGCGCGCCCGCCTGGCCCGGCCACGTGACGCTGACGCGCGGCGCCCCCTCCCGCCGCGGGCCGATGCCGAGGGGAGGCCCCTCCCCCGCAGCGCGGCGGCGCCGACCTGGGAGCGGAGCGGCGGAACCGTCGGGCCCCACGGCGGGGGACGAGCGACGCCCGCGAACGGCGGGGCCGGGTGACGGCGGCAAGGGGGGGAGAGGCGGGCGCGGCGGGATGGGGCGGGGGGGCGGCGGCGCGGCCGAGCCCCCGGGTGCTCCCCCCTCCGCCTCACTGTCATGGCGGCGGGGGAGGGGCCGTCACGTGAGCGTGAAGGGGGGCCGGCGGCGGGGGAGGGGAGAGCGGCCACGTGATCGCGGAGGACGCGCATCGGCGGCCTGCGTCCTCGTCACGTGACGCGGCCTCCCCCGCCCTGCCGGTGCCTCGCGGCCCGTTCCGGTCACGTGTCCGCCCCTGCCCGCCCCATGGCCCCAGCGGCGGCGGCGGCGGCCCGACCCCCTTAGCGCCCGCACCGCCCCGGGCCCGGCCCGGCCTCCCGCGGCCCGCAGCGCCCGCCCGCACGTCCGCCCGCCCGGAGCAGCTCCCGCCCCACGGTAAGCGGCGCGGCGCGCGAGAGGCGGCGGCGGGCACTGCGGGTGCCGGTGAGGGTAGCGAGGCCGATCCGCCGCGCCGCCCCGGGCCCCGAGCAGCCCTTACTGAGGAAAACGCCTGGAGGTCCGTGGGCGGCGAGCCCGGCCCGGCGGGTTGCGCCGTGGCCTATGGCCCGTCCGTCCCGGGGCTCCCTTGGCCGCCTTCTCCGCTCGGGCCGGGCCCGGCACCGCGGCAGCCCCTGCACAAAGGCGGCCCGGCCCGGAGCCCCCTGGTACGGCACTCCCGGTGCTGCGGGCCGGGCCCTGCGGTAGAGCCGCCGTGTTGATGCCCCGCAGAGAGCCCGGCCTACGTGACCGCGACTCCGGCCTCCCGACTCCCCGGCCTCGCGTCTGCGGCGCGGCGTGGGCCCTCGGCACCGCCGGGTACCGGCCCTGAGGGAGCTGATCGCGGCTGCCCCGGCTGATTACCACCCCAAGCACATCCCCAGCGGGGCCAGTGACAGTCCTGAGGGTTGCTTTTATTCCTGCTCATAACCCGAGCGCGACGGCGGTACTGGAGAGCTCTCAGAAGAGAGCTGTGAAATGCAGCGGTGGTTAGGGAGAGGCTGTGTGTTAGAGGAAAGATCGCTGTTGGAATGTGATGGTGTTTCCAGGTGGTCCTCCTTCCAGAGTTGGGGAGGAGTGGCTGTAGGTGGTCAGCAGCCAGCACCCCGTACTTTGTTCCGGCACAGACCCTGCCCGTTGCAGGCTGCAGCCAACAGTGCCAGCCCAGACAGGCACGATGACAAATAGGAGCTGGGCATTAGGCCTGCTGCCTGATCCCTGTGATCTTCCTAGCCATTAACCAGCACTTTAAAAATTCTGTCACTGGAGAACTTGGAATAACCTGTGTCTGGTTATCCTATTCAGGAAGATGCTTTAAACCAAAGAAACATCTCTTCTGAAATTCGCAGTTGAATGACTCCAATGCTGCTGTCTTCAGCAGCAGACTAAAATTGCTATTAGAGCTGCAAAACAGCAGAATTTCTCCTGTGCACATTGCAGTCCTTGCTTCTTGGAGCAGCACTGCCACGAACTGCAGCACCAATTGCTGGAAGCTCCAGAACAGTGATCAAGCACAGATATGATGATGATGAGGCAGGCAGGCAGGAGCAGCTCACTGAGGGCTTTAACCTCCACAGTGTACCTAAGGTCTGAATAAAGAAAAGAAGACAGCGTGCTGTGTGAGGACATGGCCTTCCTCTCAGCAGCAGCTAGGAGTGTCCTCATGCTGCTCTCACAGCTGGGTGAGATTCTATTTTAGAATTGTACTGGTACTTCTTGTAACAAGAGAAGCCATCTTGTTTGCGTTAGTGAAAGATGGTAGTTTCACTAAATCCTGATTATTGTTCCTTTTTTTTTTTTTTTTTTTTTACTGATACATTGTTCAAAAGACAGCTGGTGGCTTCCTACATTTTGTGTGATGCTGGCTGTGCTTGTGAGTTTTATGATCCTGCTGCCACTATTAGTTGCTGCATGAGAAAGAGAGCATGACAGTGATAAGTATGAGTGTATGCCCTCCATGCCCTCCCAGCAGGCAGAAGGAGACACTTGTGGGATCTGTGCTCACTGCCTGCATGCTGCAGGCATGGTGCTGGCAGCACTGCGGCTATCAGCAAGAAATTGCTGCTGGTTGCTCCGTGCCGCAGCAAAAAGGCTGCTTGTAGGTGGGTGAAATAGCACAGTACAAAAGCAAGGCACTCAGCACAGTGAGCCCCAAATGCTTCTCTTTCTGTTCTGTGCAGTTTAAATTCCTTTGCATTCTGTGGCTTTGTCTCTTTTGCATTTGATAATAACATCCTTGAAGGACTGCAAAGTAAAGGCAGAAAGAAGTGAAAATCCTCAGTCTTGCATATATGTAGGTTTCTGGTCTGTTGGAACATGTGGGCAGCTGTCTCTTTCTGGTAAGGATGAGGTGCTGATGGGAGACCAGAGACCACGATAGAAAATTCTGCATAAAACGGGAGCACGAATAACACTGAAGGATAATAGTGCTGTTGGGGAGACTGTAATGGATTGTGCTGAGAAGCTGTTGTGAAATGATGCCATGTGGTTTTCCTTGAGAAAGCAGCATTAGCGGGGCTGCTCAGCGTGGCACGGCCTGTTGTGGTTGCTGCTGCAGTGGTGTGGATGGGAACCCCCACAGTCAGAGATCTGCACTGTTGAAGTGTTGGATGAGGCTTCAGCTGATAGATGCCACAGAGGGGTGAAACTGAAGTGCAGGATCCATTCACCACAAAAGCTTTCCATACGCTATTTTACGTAACACGTTCTGATGATGGGTTTGCAGTACTGAGGAGAATGCTGTGCTGCTATACGAGCTGTCAGAGCCAAATCTCAAAAATAAAAACCCCGCATGCCCCCACCTCTGATTTTAAATGTTCAGAGGCATCATTCTGTGCTAGGTAATATTGGTGTGATAAGCTGTACGTGCTGTACAATGCAGGCACCAGCAAATAATATGAGAGGTACTCTTAAAACCCACAAAACATACTGGCTTTTGAAAATACTGTTTTGTGTTTCAGTGGGAAAGTTCATGGTGTACAAAATATGTTAATTGGACAGACAGAACATTTTCAACAAAGATGTCATTTTTTGATGGGCGTGCAACAATATGTTGATAGAATCTGCTGCGCATACCTATGGTGCACTCATTCTCTTGAGAAATTTGAAGCTGTAGGGTGAAGATGTAAAGAGCGAGGGATAATGACTGCTGGAAATGTTACAGCAAGTATTAAAAGGCTTCTGGATGTGAGACAGGTGAAAAATCCCATTCTTTTGAAGCAGATACAGCATTTTATCCCTTGGTGTTCAGGGGGAGAGGGGTAGGGAGCTGCCCAGCCAACGTTAAATGTACAGAATATTGTTGAAGCCCTCAGCAAAAAGCACTGCAGTAAGAGCAGGGCTGTCACCCAGCTGCGCTATCTTTAGTGCAGAGAACTGAAAATCCATGATTTTTCACATACCTTGTATCCCTCCCTCTTCTGAAATGATTTAGCATCTGCTGCTCATGCTGAGGGAATCGCTGCCAAATGCCGGAGGAGATCTGCAGTTTGTGTTTCTGCATAGCTTTGTTTTTTTTTTTCTTCCTGATCTGCAAAGAATAGTAAAGAAATATTAAAACTTGGTTATCAGTTTAAGGTTTGGGGGGTCTTTTATTGGAGCACAAGCAGTGTCAGCTATGTAATTACATGAATTATTTAAATAGCTGGCAGTATTCTGTTAAAATAGATTTGCTAATTGTGTTGTCAGTGGGGAGCATGTCTGTCTGGAATGGTTCAAAAATGATGTGGGCATTAACAAGTACGTACAAGCCATAGTGCCTTGACAAGAAAAGTAAGAGAATTACAGCAAATAATGATAATAATTAGTTCTACTGTATGTTTTGGTAGCTCCTTGTAGCCACGATGGCAACGTCATCAGAAGAAGTGTTACTGATTGTAAAGAAGGTCCGCCAGAAGAAGCAGGATGGAGCTCTGTACCTTATGGCTGAGAGGATAGCGTGGGCACCCGAAGGCAAAGACCGCTTCACAGTCAGCCACATGTATGCAGACATAAAATGTAAGTGAAGACATTCCCTATTTCAGTAGGTACTTCAGTGAGTAGTATTTCAAGAAATGTTGACATACAACCCAAAGCATATTGCCCTAAAGCACTGGTGTGTTGTTTGGGAAGGTTTCAAGGATCTGGAGCTTTGGCTGGGTTGTTCTATACAGCAGCAGTGATCAGGACCATAGTGAATGATTATTGGTTTGTTAAGGATGTGACAGCAGAGCTTCTATACTCTGCAAATCATCTATGCCATATGCTTGTGGAGGGAAGGGTGGGAGGAGGGTTGAGAAAGAGTATAGGATATTCAAACCTAACACAGAAACTATTAAGCTGGTCTATTAAGTCTTTTAAGCTATGTATCTAAGGCTGTTCCAATCTGCTTATAAAATGAACGTGGCTTATATTTTCACCCAGCTGACCATAACTTCAGAAGTGCTAGCATCTGTAATTTGGCCTGACAGTAATTTACCAAAGAAGCATTTGCTGCTGCACAGTTCTTGCAAGTCACAACTGAACAGTAAATGTCTATATGCTGTTTTTCTGGCTACAATTAGTATGAATGTTCCATGTGTTGCAATGCCAAAAAAGGAATGAAGCATGTTGTGTGCATCGCTTGGTTCAGCCTTAGTAAGCATTGCTGTCAGAAGTTATATGCAGGTACTGCAGCATGAACAAAAGTGGATGTAGTAAATCAAATCTAAGTTGCTGTTTTCTGAAATACACTTGTGATAAATAGTCTGTTCACTCATTATGTTCAGTTTTGTGAAGGCTTTATCCAGCTATTTAGCTTATGTGTAAGTAGCTTATATATTAGATGTTGAAGCGTGCAGGCAAAGAAGTCCTTATGACTTAAATGAAAGGTGTTTTTTTTATGTCTTTTTACAATCCAAAAAAGAAAAATGGGATGGAGGGAGGGGGGCATTTGTTCAGTGGTGACACTCGTTTCCATTCTCCTAGTTGCACTACAGAAAGGGCACAAGATTGGAAGTTAGGTCAGTGCTGTTCGCAGTGCTCTGTTGAAGACAGTATCCATAAATGCAGTTGTTTACGATCCACAAGCACAGTTGTTCCAGCCTCTTCTCCCTCTAGTTACAGAAAAGGAAGAAGTCCAGTTTTCCTTATGAGTCATTAGGGTGTAGCAGCACCTTGGAGGCATTGGGATCACCTTTTAGGAATACCTGTGGCTAACTGCTTAGCAAACCACTTGAAACCAGCATGCTTTTGCTGTCAGCATCCTGTTACCCCACCCTGATTTCTTAGTACTGTTCTTCTGTGGAAATTGATCCAGCTGGAAAAACAAAAGGGGATGCTTCTCAGTGGATCACTTCCTTGGTTTTGGTTACTGTACAAACATTAACACCAGGACAGGAGAGGCAGCAGGAAGGGGTGGAGAGGGGACATGAGGCTGTCACCTCTCAGTAGCAGCAGCCTGGACTTGTACCAGCTTGAAGCCTCCAGGTGACTGGCTTACCCAACAGAGAATGTAGAGAATGCAGAGATAAATCTAGGCTCCTGAGGTTTGGTGGAAGGATACTGAGCGATGGGCTGCTGGTGGCAATGTCCTGTGTTTTGGGCTGACCATGCAGCAATGATACTAATTTAAGGGGAAGACGATGTTCTACTTGCATGGCTGGAGTTCACACACACAGTAATGATATTTAATTGGAGGATGTGGGTATTTGCTTATAACCAAATACTCTAGGGAAGAGACTTTCCACTATAAGCTTGCTGTCTCTTGCTAATTAATACTCTCTGTGCAATCTAGGCCAGAAAATCAGTCCAGAAGGTAAAGCTAAAATTCAGCTTCAGCTAGTATTGCATGCAGGGGACACAACCAACTTTCACTTCTCCAACGAAAGCACAGCAGTGAAGGAGCGAGATGCGGTAAAAGACCTTCTTCAACAACTCTTGCCCAAATTCAAGAGGAAAGCTAATAAAGAACTTGAGGAGAAGAACAGGTAAAGGGAATCTGAAAGCTGCTTTTCTTATTTCTTAGTTCTTATTTAACCATAGTGTGTTTCTGCCATCAGCTGTGAAGTTGTATTGCAGCATCGTTAGTGATGTTGCGTTGGTGAAAATCTTTCCACTTTCAGTTTCAGTCCTCAGGGTTTACATAACTGTAACATGTTGAGACTGTCCCTGCATTCTCAGTGGCACTTCTCAAGGTGTGAAGGCAATCAGCCTTTCATACCTGAATGAGATAAAAGCACCCAAGTGGCAGTCTGTCTCTTTAGCATTCCTGAGTACATACTTACCAGTTTAATAAGCTGCAAGCACTTAAGCACTTTTTTTTCGCCAGAATTTGTTACCTTCCTTCCCCCCTGTCCCCCACCCTCCCTGCGTACCCTAATCACTCCTTCCTCCCTGCCTGCCCAGATGAATCTTCTGTCCTGCTATCTTGTGAACTCCACTAAATTGTTGTTTTTGTTGGTTTTTTTTTTTCATGCATCTCAGTTGATATGCAGTAGTTTATTATTTGGCATACAGGATGTTTATTCTAAAATAAATGTGAAGAAAAGAGTTTCAGGAACCAAGTCATTTTCCCAGAAGGGCTTTTAAGATACCTTTGAAATGCTCATTTCAAACTGGTCCTTGTGGGCATAGGACATACTTCTCTCTGCCACTCCAGATGAGTTTCACTGGCATCTCATGTGAATCCTCCACCCACTAGCTTCCATTTTCAAAGACAGGTTAGTTCAAAGCTACAGCAAACTTAAATGTTTTGGATTTTTTTTTTCTAGAAAATAGGAATATTGCTTCACCAGGCAGATTAAATCTTCACAAAGGGAAATCTTTACACAGGCAAGAGCTTTTGTGTAGTAGCTCTAATAGATATGAGTTATTTTGTTGTTTTCAGTACTGCTGGGACAGTCAGCATCTACAGCAGTGCAAACTGCTTCAGCACTATTACCAAACAGTTTTTTTATTGCTCCTTCCTTTTCTCTGACAGTGATAATAGTGAGTAGTTGTACAGCCTCAGCTCTGAGTCCTTGCACCCCTAAATGGAGCTTTATAGTATTTTATCTTTTGGCATTAAAAGCTTTTCTAGTTATAGAAAAGTGGAAGCAGAAGAGGCAGAGTCTCTGTATGCAGTCTGTGCATTTGACAGTTGTATCCCAAGTCCAGTAATAGGACTTTACTGCTTAGTTTGGAACAGATGAGGCCCAAAGTCTCAACCTATTCTGGAAGTGTTCTGCATTCTGAGTCCCTCTGGCACTTTTTCCATTTATTGATAGAAAGGGGTGAGGTGTATGAAAACTCCAACATCTAATGAGCTATTTCAAATTGAACAGACTACTGTTTGCTGCTCTAACTTGTAGTCATTGTCACTAATCTGTACTTCTAAGAAGAAAAATTGAATAGGAAGAGTAACATGGTGTGAAAACACACCAGGCACGTTTTGTCCTAGAAAGCTACCATTTCTATCTCATCCTACTTCACCCTCAAAGCAGCTGCAGACTTCAGTCCAAATTGTCATTTATCCCCATTCTTCCCATGTCTACATAGTATGTCCCGTGTATTCATAAGACTCCTCATTGTTTATCTTTTGTTCACAATCAGTATCCTGAGAAACATGCTTAAGCTTGTTGAGATTTTTGCCTAACTGTCCATACGTATACATGGATCCCAGTAAATAATCTGCTGGGCTTCACATTGGGTATGCAGCTTCATGAAAAGAAGCACACGAATCAGCTGAAGTTTCTGATCCATACATTGTTTGCATTTTGGACAGTAACGATGGTAGTTGTCATTTGGATTGTAGCTTTTGTAAATATTATCCCCTGGTGGATGGAGGCAGCAATACTGAATGTTTCTGCAGCACTTGTGCTGCACGTGAAAGTTAAGTGATGTCACCAACAGAAATAGCCAGAAGACCTCACAGTAATATGCCATCTTAAGGTATCATGCATACTTTGTAATATGTACTCTTGTGCTAGAATAGAGAACTGTAGGTACCAAATTTTAACATTTTAATCAAGAATTGGGCAGTGTCCCAATCCCCTTTTTCTACCATATGACCTTTGTTATTCAAGTTCAGGAAAATTAATTTTGCTTTTGTGGTTCAGAAGACTGCAGTCCAGGGCGTGCAAAGACACGTGCTTCACCATACTGAAGGACAAGACATTAATCCCACCTTAATGCTTTCCTAGGCGTTACTTTTTCTAGCACTTAATGCTACCCCTGAAAGATTTTGAACCCTTTCTTTGTTCTTTTGAGACAAATATCATTATTGAGGTTGGTTGGTTACACATTCTTGTTAAGAAACACAGCATTTTTAAAAGAAAAGTTAGTTTCTGTTCCTGTTGTGAACTCATATTAGCTATGGAAATCCTAGCGATTTATCCTGCAGCATTTCAATTCTATTCAATACATTCTTTTACCAGAATGCTGCAAGAAGATCCTGTTTTGTTTCAGCTCTATAAAGACCTTGTTGTGAGCCAAGTAATCAGTGCTGAAGAATTCTGGGCCAACCGTTTAAGCCTGAATGCAGGGGATAATTCTGCAGCACCTAGTAAGCAGGATGTGGGCATCTCTGCAGCATTTCTGGTATGTTGAACCTCTCATTGAAAGCATTTTAGAGCAAACAAAATGGGGAAGTGAGAGTTCTGCTCCTGTACTTTATTCCTATATACTTGAATGTTCTTTCCGGGTACCTCAAGCATCAAGGAGGAAAAAATGTAAAGGTATTGTGCATATCTGCAACCTCAAAACTGTACTGATTTAGCTTGCTCAGATTTAACTTAAAGATGTAACACACAGGTGCTGTTTAAACTGCTGTTCCATCTTTCATATAATAGGAAAAAAAGACAAGTTTAGTCACTGGATTGGTGTCTTAATGCAATAAATTAAAAAGCATCTCTTGCAGTGTCCACCTGCATAAGTGAAGCTGCAAAGAGTCCCACACAAACGGTCTTATTTTTTCCCCACGTTTGTGTTTTTATTTAATCTGGCACATGCTTTCAGCTGCTCAGAGACCCAACTTGTACATCTGAAAGCCTGTTCCATCTCTTCCCCCAGCTCACAGTTACATTACCCCATGTAGAATCTCAATACAACTTAAGACACTATAACCCAGATACAGTCTTCACATTCCTCCCACAGGCCAATGTTTTTACACAGAACTCGTACAGATAACGATTTGTTAACAGACATCCCATTTCTGTCTCTGTAATGACTTGTGCACACAGCAGAGGTTTGGGTGGAAAGGAGGAGATGAGAATTGTTTTTTGACATACCTGCTATACACTCACTTTTCCCCCCTAAATAACAAGAATTTGAGCGTGCTGAAAAAAAGACAAAAGCCAGAATATGTCGGCACCTGCTTTCTCCTCTTACAGAGAATGTGACTGTGCTTACTGGCTCCAGAAATTCCTAAAGAGGTAACTCCAAGTTGCAGGTTCTAGCCAAGGCAGTTTTCAAGTTCAGTGTTACCATTTGTACTGAGATGCTTTTAATATATAAAAAGAGGAATAACAGCCATAAACTATTACTGATTCTTCACTAGATGAATTGTTGAGTAAACACCAAAAGATTAGGCATACACAGTACATATGCCTATTTTTACTTGGATATATTAAACTAACTACCTCTCAATTGTTCTTGCTTTCATCTTTAAAATTTAGTCTCCTTGAATCATCCCTTAGGTAGTAAGTATAATAAAGTAATTAATGCACACTTTTGTGTTCTGTAAATATCTATTTATGATCAAATATGCTATGGTTATTGTAGGAAGAAGATTATTTATCTGCAGCAGAATTTGACTGCAGAATGCCAGTATTTTCCTTCTCCTCTTACAGAAGATATTCAGACTTAAGCTGTTTCTCCTCCCCGTGTGCTTTTTCTTAGGCTGACGTACGACCTCAAACAGATGGCTGCAATGGTCTGAGGTACAATTTGACTTCAGATATCATTGAATCCATATTTCGAACATATCCTGCAGGTAAGAGTAGTGCATTGCTTTACAAATACATTCATGTGAGATTTGCTTATTACCACTTTACTGCAGGAAGTCAAAGCCTTGAAGTATAAAGAACTGGATGATTTTTCCCTACCAAGTTTCCTTAATTTGAGGAGGGATGGGAAGAAGCATGTGCTAAAATACGTTTCAACTAATGAAATTGAGTTTTCATTTCAAAAGGATTTTAATTTGTCCACCTACTTTTCTTTTTAATTGTAAGTGGAGATTTGGCTCTCTCAGTACAGAGTATCGTGGATCTCAATTCTTTGGAGGGGAAGAGTGATTTCCACCCTTCCCTTCCAATACACTGGACACTGACACTGGTTCATTTGGGCAGTAGGTTAAAAATGCTAGATCCATCTTGAGAATAACTAGAAGTCTGTCAATTAAGACTTCTTGTGCGAGTGTTTAAATTGGAGTATTCAAATTTGTGATATGCATTTCTTTTCAGAGCATTAGGTAGCATAGCAGAGCATAGAAGAGTACCCATTAGCTGGTGTTTAACCTCTGCATTCCCTTACACTTAACTGGCATGAATGACAATAGCACCAGACAGAAAGCTAGGAAGCAAGTAAGAAAATACTAAAATAAAACGCTGTATGAAGATTTGCAGAACACCTTGTAATCATTACTTGTTTGTTCACAGTGAAAATGAAATATGCAGAAAATGTTCCACATAACATGACAGAAAGGGAATTCTGGACGCGATTTTTTCAGTCTCATTATTTCCACCGGGACAGACTCAACACAGGCTCAAAAGACCTCTTTGCTGAATGTGCCAAACTGGATGAGAAAGGTAAGCTTTGGGACTCGGTTGCTGCAGTAGGCTGTTAGCAGTCTTACAGAGCAAGATGAACAGCCAGTACACCTTGCAAAGGTGAAGTCTGCGTTTTCTTATGTCCATTTATTGGACATCTTGTTGAAGGGAGAGGCAGAGATCGTGACTGGAAATTGTCTGTAGCTTTGCTATTCTTAGCCTGCCTACAAATGCATTCCTCGAAATAAATGGGGATGTGCTAGTGCAAGACATACCCTTTATCACAACCCATGCAACAAAAATTAGTGATAAATTCCAGTAACTTACCATCATGACAGTTCAATTATGCTCAGCCATCAGTTACTACGGAATAAATCGGTTTACATAAACCTTCCTTTTGTGGTTGTGCACAACTTACAGCTGGTACAGCTTTTATAATAAATGGAGTGTTTAGCAACAGAAAAATATGGATCCTGTCCCATATTTTCCAGAGGAGTTGCCATTCCTATTCTGTCCACCTTTTTAAGAGAAACTTAAGTCAGATGATATCTAATCTGTAAAGTTATTTAATCATACAGACATATGAAGAGGTAAGATCACTTAATGTCATTCCTTAGCACGTGTTAGAATTCTGACAGGATATGGATTCTACTAGGAATCCACAACCTTTCACAAGGAGAAGCTATCTTAAGGTACCATTCTACCCAAAGCAATACGGTGCCAGAATTCAAAGAGAAAAGTTTCTACTAACAACTGGTACTAAAGCGTCCTCCATTTTAATACAGAACAGTGTACAGTGATGAGCAGAAGTTGATGAGAGCTGCTGTAATTAGGAGGCTGATCTCTTACAACAATTTTCCAAGTTTATTGCTTATTTCAAAGGGAACTTTATAAAGGGTTGAAAGATTTAATCGGTGATATTTGAGCATATTGATTTTTAAAGGTTAAATAACAATCTAATAATCCCACACATTTGTGGTGGCTTTTTTTTTCTGCTGCTCCCATACAGGGTTAAAAGCAATGGTGTCTCAAGGAGTGAAAAACCCTATGATAGATTTAACAGCTTTGGAAGACAGAACGTTAGATGAAGTAAGTAGTTGCTAAAAACAAATTTAAGGGGAAACTGGGTCCTTCCTGTTCAAATTACTACAAATGCTGTTTCCAAAACACATCACTTAAAAGGCTGCTGCACTTGTTCAGTACTCAATGTTTACACAGCTGTATGCGTGTGAGGAAGCCTGTGCCCAACTGCCTGTGTTAATGTGCTGGGTATACTGCAGCACCTCTTGCTTTTCAGAATGAGTTCTTTCACTTAGTATGGCTTTTTTTTTTCTATCCCTAGCAGATTCTCTCTGGCTTCTTCCTAACTTTTAGAACCTGGGGCCACGTGCAGAAAAGTAATGCAAAATGGGAAAAAAAAAGTTTTAGCCTTTCTCCTTACTTTGAGTGTTGCTGTTACATTCTGCTTAATTTTATGCATGCTGTATAGAATTTTATCTAGATTTAATTATTGTATTTTGCAAAAAATATCCTAACTTGAAGTTACCTGCCTTTAAGTATAAACTAAAACAATTTTTATAATGTACCACAATATGAAATATTGAAGGATACATTTTCTGCAGCTAATTTAATTAAATCTTTAAGTTATAATTAATAATAGTGCTTTGTTTCAAAAGGTTCTTTTTCTTCCTTGAGCTGTACAGAGCTATCACTCTAAAACTAGAATAGGAGTCGAGAATATGCATGTTTGAAGTGCTGTGCAAAGTGCTGTATTTTGCATTTGATGCTGGTTAATTGCAAGCATGAAACCGAGTACAGATTAAAGTGAATGGCTTTCAGCCACTTGGTAACTGGGGAATGCTGCCAGCATTAAGGCTTGAGGTTTCTTGAATTCCCAGTGCTATCACATCTTCCTGACGCTTAGCCTGGGGGCCGCTGGTGTTCCACAAAGTGTTAAAGAGTCCATAAATCAGTTGCTACTTCTCACTTGCTATCAGTGTCTGTTTAGTACAGGTGGTTTCCTTTTTAAGCTAGTTTTAATTTACAGCAGATTATAGTCCTATAAAATATACTTTTGAGATTTATTTGTTCTTCTTAAGATACCTCTGAACTGCCATGAGTTAGCAGAATAAAATAATCTCTGGAGGTTTTTTCCCCAAAGCACCTGGGAGTCACAGTCAGGGGAAGGTAAGAAAATGCTTCAGATGATGATACAGTACCAATAAAACTCAGAGGAGATGGCATGGCTTCCTGACTCACTGGAAAACAGAATGGTCTTCTAGGTTCAGGAGGAGGAGGTAACCAGTGTTATTCTCTTTACAGGGCTATGGTGTTGCTCCTGTGGCCTCTACATCAAATGCCTCAAAAACTGCTAGAGAAAGTAGCAATGCTGCCATTATAAAACGCTTTAATCATCACAGTGCCATGGTCCTTGCAGCTGGCCTCAGAAAACAGTAAGTTTCAATGTTGCCTAAAAGCTAAGTATTTTTAACAAATTAAAGAATTTCCAGAAGGAAAATACATCTGCTGTTACTCATCCAGCCCTTTCCTGTAATTTTTATGAATGAACTATTATGTTCTGGAAATAAAAGTACTATTAGGTTCTATTTTACTTTCTATAAAGTTCTTCAGATCTGAGATGACAGGTGCTATTTTTAGCTGAGTTGCTCTCCTACTCTACAAACATAAAAGAAAAAAATGGAAAGGATGTTTCTGGCTCTCTCCTCTATCCCTGCTGAAGGCTGCATCAAGGAGAAGATTTGATTCAGGGGCTCCTCCTGCCACCTTCCAGGAGTGGATCTATTGTGGCTTCCTATAGTGGGTTGCATGGGAGAAGGCAAACAAGGAAGTAAAAACATTGATATAACTTGTGTGGATCAAATTAAAGGTTTATCTGGGGTAGCATCCTGTCCCTGACTGACTGCTGTAGTTTAACCCAGCAGGTGGCTGAGCACCACACAGTTGTTTGCTCACTTTCCTCCTTCCCAGTAGCAAAGGAGACAGGACCGGGGGGAAAAAAATAGAACTTGTGGATTGAGATAAAACTATTTACTGAGATAGAGTTGAGGGAAATAGTTATGAGAAATACATATAAATGTATACAACTAGTGGTACACAAGCAATTGCTCACCACCCCCAAACCAATGCCCACCTAGCCCCCTGAGCAGCAGAAGAGAGGCAGATGAACCCTCTTCAACTCTCCTTCCACATGATGTCATAAGGTATGGAATATCCCTTGGGCCAGTTTAAGTCAGCTGTCCTAATTGTTTCCTCCCAGCTCCTTAGGCTCATTGCTGAGAATGGCCTTGGCTCTACAACACTGCTTAGCAGCAACTATAAACATACATCACTGTTACCAACATTGTTTTTGTCCTAGAACCAAAAACAGTGTCATACCAGACATTCTGAATACTTCTTTCCCAACTGAAATTAAGACAACAACCAAAAAAAGTGTCTTGTCTGGTTACATATGTTTATAGTAAAATCCACAGGTGAAACTCAAAAAAAAAAAAAAAAAAAAAAAAAAAAAGAGGGGAGTGAATTGGGTTTGGGTTTGATGTGAGGTCTGCTGTACAGCTAGTTTACAGACAACCACCTAGTAGATTACTGTATCCAGGTCCTACAGACCTTACATGTGAGAGATCTCAAATACTTTCTTCTGTATAGCTGAGCTCTCTGACAACATTCTCATATTTTCCAAATGGACCAGTGGATCTCAATCTCTTTTGGATAATACATGTCTCTACTCCTCAGTTTTGAGAGGAAAAAAAAAAAAAAGTAATATTTATTCTAAAACAGCAGATTCTCAGTGCTCCCATAGCCCTGCTAGTGTGTGATAGGCATAAGTACATATGCAAATCATTTGATTTGCATGATTTTGCCATGTCCCACTTGCACTGCTGGCAAGCCACTATTTCTGCAGGAAGGGAGAAACTCCCTGCTACTTAGTTTCCTCCTGGACAAAGCATTATTTGAGTTGTTGGTTCCATTTATCTACATAAACTTCTTCCAGAGAAGACACAAGGGGGGGAAGCTGGTGTACAGTATAAGTATTTTTGAAGCATATATTTACTTTGTCTCTAGCTTGTGTCTTAAATTTCCTGTAAGGTGAATTCTTCTTAATGCTGTTTCTCTATTTTAAGAGAAGCACAAAATGACCATTACAGTGAGACCAGCAGTACGGATGGAAACTCCAGGGATTCAGATTTCTTTCAACCACCAATGAAAAAGGTATAAAGTTAGATGCCATTCTAGTTGAAAGAAAGTGGATGTTGTCTCTTAAAACATTGCTGAAGGTTTATTATGTGTTTTAAGAAGCACCTAAAACAATACTTGTTACTCTGTATGCTTCTAAGCTAAATAACTAAGGGCAAGTGAGAAGCTTTGAGAATAAGAACATCTGTTAGTAGATACATACTACACCCTGAAGTATTGTGCTGTTGATCTGTTTAGTAGGGCCCCCTGAAAGCAAAAGTTTCCAGCATGATTCTGATAAGTATTTTTTTCCATACTGTGCGGTTGTATTTTTGCTGTTTGCCTGAACAGTTGAAGAAAACATCCATTTGAAAGGAGTAGGGTGTTTGAGAGTCAATATTAACCTATCAAATGTATAGAGAATGATTGAACTGACACATAGCAGCCTTCATCTCAAGGTTAGAAGCTGGAGGAAGGTTAAACAAAGAGTGGTGATGCATAGTGCACTGAAATAGAGCACCAGCCTGTTTTAGAACAACCACAGGAACTCACAAAGTGGAGAGAAAATACTGTAATTGCTGCAGAGATTCAATAATCCTTGCTAGAATTGACAGTTGAAATAGGTTGACTCAAAGCCTTCATATATTGCTAAGAAAAGAGCATAGAACACATGTTAAATGTTGAAGAAGGCAACAGCTTTGACTTTCAAGAAAGGTAGTTTTAATTAGAAGGATAAACATACGAGCCCTGGAACAAGCATGATGATGAGAGGAATGAGAAAAGAGCATAACAGTAGGAGGCTCTAAAGGTAGGTTTCTCATTCTTTGAAGTCCACTGATGCTGTCCTGTTACCTCTCACCACTAATGCTCTAGTGCTGTTGTCACCAAACAGCTTGGATAATTATTGCTGCGTCAGTCCTATACTCCTGGACTCCAGCAATTAAGTTATTACTATTTCTGTTTACATAGAGGTAAATGACTTAAGTAGAGAAAACAAAGAATGTGTGTGTATTAGCAGAACACTTCCTGGAAGTAGCAGGGACTGCAAGTTTTGGTGACAATCTACAGAAAAAGCAGTAATGCCAAGACTAACATGTACAAAACTGTACACGTTAAACAGCATTGGTCACACCTCCCTCAGGAAGGTAGACACAAACTGTTCCAGGTAATTTTGTTTCATTAAGGTGTGTCTAAACCTTTCACTCAAAAAAAATCTGAAGTGAGAAAAAAAAACACCAAACTCATCAAATTGTGTTATTAGTAATGTCTGTAATTTTTTGGCTTATTGTAGGTGAAACTACAGGAATCCATTGAATATGAAGATTTAGCGATGAATAATAGCACTAAAACTATTGCACTAAATTTAAAGAAATCTGACAGGTAAGTTAACAGTAAATGCTGGCTATTTCAGTATATTTGATATGGCAAGTCTGTGATGACTTAAGAATCAGGAGATGTAGTTCCCAGTGTGCTACTCAGCCAAGCACTTCCATTTAAATTTGTATTTTGATTTCATTTCGCTTTTCAGCGAGTTTCTGTAAACCTGCTGGGAAGGCTTTGACATGTAATTTCTATTTAAGTCTTAAGAGACTGATTGTCATAGTTCAGCACTTTGCTGCAGCTCATAGTAGAGAAATGAGTGTGATGTGTACATTTACAGTTCCAAGCAAAACAAGCAGCATGGGAATAGTTTGAGCCGGTCACTGGTCTGTTACTGTTCTAGTAATTGTCCTCTTGTTTTCTAGACCATTAAGCTTGAGAACCATAGAGAAGGACAGATGCCACAAAGAGAACCAATTAAAACATACACGTTACTTCCTTTGTCTGAGGTTCACATTGGTGTGAAGTCCTTTGCTACAACGCTGTTCCCAAAACTGAGCACAGTGGATGGCAGAGCTTTTCATGAGCTTGCTTGCAGATTCAGTGATAGAAATTGCAGCCTCTATTGCTGCCGTACCCTTCCCTCTTGCCACGTGGCACTGCATTTTATGTTTTACGTCAGTAAATAGGATTTAGGTAGCAACATCAGCAGTTGCAAAGCATCCCAAACTGGAAACATTTCTACTGTCCACTGATTTTGGCATCCATTTTATGAACACTGTTATCAATGTACTTCTCTCCTTACCTCACAGGTATTATCATGGTCCAACTCCAATTCAATCACAGCAATATGCAACCAGTCAGGATATAATTAATTCTTTTCATAGTATTAGGCAAGAAATGGAAGCATATGTACCCAATCTAACTCAGGTATGTAAGAATTTTCCAGAAATTCCTTTCTTGATGTTAGCATCTTCTTTCTATACAGTTTTTTGTCTCGACTACTGGAGTTTAAATTCTTCAAGATAAACTTTGTAATCTCAAATAGTTTAATGTCAAGCTTATTTTACAACTTCAGGTGGGGTACCTTTTCAAATATTGTGTTTAAGATCTAAACATGAAAAAAAGGAAAGAACTGAAAAAAGCAGCATTTCTGATATTCAGTTATATTCTACTGTTACCATGTTCTTTTGAAGTAATAGTGAAAACGTAAAGTAATAAAATACAGGCTAGCTGACTTGAAGTACTGGCAAATATTACTGATCCCACCCTCTGAACTTTAGGAGGTAATGGCCTTAAGTCATTGTATGCAGTATATAACTCAATGGGTCGTTGTCCCAGAAGGCATTTAAGTGCAGGACCTGCTTTTCCTTGGGCTGCACTCTTTCCTGGCAACTGGAGGGCAGCAGCGCCACCAGCTGATCCTCACCAGCCAGTAACTGAACTTCCTCTCTTCATAAACCCACATTTGGCCCTAAGAGAAGGAGCCACAATTGTGGCTGAGTTGCCACAATCTGTATTGTAAAAATCAACTTCATCTTAATTTGCACAGCCAGTTCACATACTAGGTAAAGATGTGTTCATTAATTGGGGAGCTTTCTCTGAAAAAGGAGTGAATGCTTGCATTTAGTTCTGCAGTACAGTAAGCTCTTCATCAGGATTTCTATTGTATGTCCCCAGTTGCATCTCCCCAGTTAGAGCTAACCTGTGATTTATTTTTAAGGTATTGCTGCAAAAATTCATTCCCTCTTTGCTTTCAGGTTCTTTCAAGTGGTGATGCTACTAGCACAATTGCAGTCCTGTCACCTGGAGGAGCACTTATGCAGGGTGGAACACAGCAAGCCATAAACCGTAAGGATTTGAGATATGTAATACTTCAATCACTTCTTATTACATTACAGAGCAGTTTGCTGTTTTATCTCCCTCTTAGATTATGTTACACTGATACATGAAATTTTAGAAGCTGGACTGTAACTGGAATAACACTGGTTAAAGAAACAAAAGCAAAGCAAAAACAGCAAAAAAAGCAAAGCAGCCCAACTAAGAGGCGGCGCTGGCTAAAACTGTGCTGTGGCAAGTAGGTGACAGAACTTCACAGAGCAAGTGAGAAATGATGCACCCAGTACCGAGTCCCGTACAGTTGATGGGTTTTGTGTGTACAGCATTTTTATTTTGTTTTTCTCTATATTTTAATGATGACATACTTTGAGAGAACTCCAAGGAAGTGTACTGTAGATAGGAGTTTTGAACTAGTGGAACTTCTGCAGCCTGAATTAGAATCCACAGCTTGCTGAAAGGATGACCTACCTGTGGAGTGCAAGGACAAACAAGCAACCCATCCTCCTCTCATCTCCACCTGCCTACTCCATCCCCCACTGTCACATTTATGCCACCTTGAGTTCCTTTCCCTTTCATCTCACAGCAGATGAATTTCTGCTCTCACAAGGCAGGGTTTAGAATAGTTTCCCTGTTTTGTACTTGATCTGAAGGATAGCAAAGACTATTCAGACAGCTGAAAAAGTATGCATTCCCAGTGGTAATAAGTGGAGTCATCAAGCAGTAAGGAAGCTTTCTTACCCTCCCCAGCTGACATTCCCCTTCAACCCAGACCACCTTTTCTTTTAACAGCCTTATCCTAGAGTTCCCTTTGGACTGTTGAGATGACTGCTCCTGTCATTCTCAATGACTGTGGGTTGTTTTTTTTTTGTTTCTTTTTTTAGGGTTGTGGTACCCTCCCTGTTTTTTAACCATGTTACCATTTTTACTTTAAGACACTGTTTGAAAGATAGTTCCTTATTCCTTTATGTGTTGTATCTGACAAGTGTCATTATTGTTTTCTCATTGCCAGTGAGAGAGGGAAAAAAAAATTACACTAGCTTGCATTATCTGCTGTACAGTCCATTTAATATTAGACTTAGAATAGAACTGTCCATGCTGCCCCATTTACTAGTTCTGGATTAAAGCATGATGTCCATCCTTTGCCTGGCATACATCTGCCTGAGTAATATACAAGCCTCCACACATGCTAGCCATAAATAAGCAGCTGACCTGATCCAGTACTGCTAGCACACCTCCTTCAGGTGTGAAGCACCTCAAGAGTTCCCTCCCAGCCAGTCTTTCTGTGATTCTGATCAGAAATGTGTATTACATTGCTCCTCCATTAGCCTTACCTTCTCACTTTATGTATCATAGTTTTGAGTGATACAGAAAAACATTTTTTTCCTTTTGCAGAGATGGTGCCAAATGACATTCAGTCTGAATTAAAACATTTGTATGTGGCAGTAGGGGAACTGCTAAGACACTTCTGGTCCTGCTTTCCTGTTAACACACCATTCCTAGAAGAAAAGGTAAGGTCTCCTCGTGTGACTCTGGTTATGATATGGCCAGATATGGTTTAAGATGACTGTCATTAACTTGAAACCTAGAGCTAACGCACACGTGTTAAGTGAGCACTTACTCATCCTTAGAGCTAAAGGTCACAAAACAATATAAAACATTACATTTATCAGCAGTTCTGCTGGTGTTACTTGCTACAATCATCTGCGTACCTCTTAACCCCCAGTAGGAGCGTTGGCTGTTCACTAGTTTCTAACATAATTGTCAGCTGTAGGCCAGCCACAGATTTAACACTGCCAATTTAAAATAAAACTACAGTCCCCCTCCTTCTTCTACTCTAAGACATAACTGCCACAGTAATGCTTACAGGAAATCTTCCTTATCCTTCCATCCACTGTAAAGTTACTCAGCTTCAAAATCTGTACTGTTTCTAAGAACAGAGTGCCTTCATCTTAGATTTTACTGCTGCAAAATGTGACCAGAAAACTCACAGTATAGTCTTTGCTTGAAGCAAAAAGGGTGTTTTTGTTAACATCTTATCTGTTTTACTTGCTGACAAATAATGATGACATTGCTACGCTGCATTTTCAGGCACATTGCACTTGCCTCAAAAACAAATATGGACTTAATTTTTAAGTTAGAGACAGATGACTTAGGAATTTTTCTTCCTTGAACCATACATATTTCAAGCATGCCCCAGAATTACTTACAAAGTGTTTTGTGCAAATGATTACAAGATTGGTTCCTTTCTTTCAGGTTGTGAAAATGAGGAGCAACTTGGAAAGATTTCAGCTTACAAAGCTCTGCCCATTCCAAGAAAAGATTCGGAGACAGTATTTAAGCACAAATGTAAGGGAAAAATACTCTAATTACAATGGTGCATGTTACTAATGTGAATCATAATTATCAAAGGATGGTGGCTTTGTTTGCTTCTTATTCTGGGTCATCTTAAATTTGTTTACTAGGAAACTGGCAGAGGGAAATTAGTTACATAATTAACTATTCTCTGACTTTCCTTTTCTACACTGCTCAATAATAGATTACCCAGCAGAAGACGGAAGTCATGTTTCATTTTCTACTTCTGTCATGACTTAGGACTTCAGCTACTTCGAAACAGTCTCCCACCATTCCGGATTTGAAGTGGTCATAGCCTAAATAGTGGAAAACAGCACAACCAAGTGCTATTTCCCTGAACCTTCACAGCTTAGTCACTGTGAATTACCCCCTCAACACAGACTTCACAGTAGAGCTTCAAAGTCCTTTCTCTGTTAATCTGGCATACCCCCTTGATCTTAGTGAAATCACTTCTAGTGAACGAAGGGAATAATCCAACTGAGTGTGTTTGATCAAAGGGAGGGTGATGTATTCTCCAGTAGCTGTGACATTTACTTCCTTTTCCCTCTTAATCTTTCAGTTGATAAGTCATATAGAAGAGATGCTGCAGACAGCCTACAATAAGTTCCACACGTGGCAGTCCCGGCGTATGCTGAAGAAGACGTGAGAGTGCATGCTGTACAGGTTTGAGAACAAAAATCTGCAATAGGGATAGGAGTACAACCTAGCACACGTGCAGATCTTATAGTTGTTGCAGGAAGACCTGCAACCTATGGACTTCTGGAAAAGATGCTAACTGAACTTGCACATTTTTTGGAAAAAAAAAAAAAAAAAAAGAACTGAGATTAAACTTGAAAACTAGGGAGAAGAACAAGAGCGAACCAAAACAGAAGAGCTGAGGCGCAAAACTATTTAAAAGACACTGTTTACTGCAGTTACTCAGGAACTGCTTTTGATTTGCATTAAGAGCTGCTTTCAGAAATAAAAAATTTAAAGAGGGCGTATTAATAAAATCTGTTTTTGTCTAATTTTTTTTTTTTTAAAGAAATGTATGGCACAGGGTAGAAATCAAAATGTTTTCACTGGATTCTGACATTTTGTTGAATTGTTTGTATCTTCCGCAACCATTTAACAGTGCTATTTTAAAACAGAGCTGAAACTGGTTTTACTTCAACCATCCAGGAGAGCGTAGCTGTCCACAGATGAGCTACTGCCATGTTTCCCCCCTCAATTGGAAGCAAGAAACATTGCACTGAAAGCTGTTCACGATCTGGGGCCCCTAAAGGCACATGATGGGGGCAAACTCTCACCTGAGACTTTGGATTTTTATGCAAAACTTTTTCAGCCATCCGTTTTGCATGTTTTCCTCTGAGTGCAAGTGTGTGCTACTGCAATCTTCTTTTTTTTTTTTTTTAAGGTGGCATTTGTTCTGAGGAAAGAATACTTTTTTTTAAAATGAAATTAAATAAAGTTTCTTACAAAAGTCACTTATTTTCAATCATTAGACTTCTTGTTTTGAATTTCTTCTCCTAAGTCTGTTTTCCTTCACTCTCCCCATTTGACTGTTACACTGTTTTTGGCGAATCGATAATCATGGCAAAGAAAAAATGTTATTTACAAAATGTGCATAAATATTGGGAAGCTGTGCCATACTTTGTTCCAAATAGAACCAGTTCACCGTTCAAACCAACTTGTCTTGTATTAAACGTGACTCAAATGCAAAGTGAACCTGTTTTCTATAATATATGCAGTTTAATGACATCCTTGTATTTTGCTGTCATCCTGACTGTACTAAGGCTCAGTACAGGCTACTGAATTTTTTTTTTTTTTACTTCTAACTAAATGTGACTGTTAGAGTATAAGATGCATTTACAAAGACAAATCAGAATGACAATACTTATTTAAAGCAAGCACAGCAGAGTAAGACGGAAGAGATCTCCACTAGCTTGCATAATGACTTAATACTGGGTTCTGCCATCACTGGTATGATGTTAAAACATTACCGTATGATGCCAAGTGGAGGATTGTTGCAGATGTATTTGTATAGCCAAGTCTGTGCTTGTTCTGTGCTGCTGCTCCATTTATGCAAGAGGGGCTTTTCTTTACCCGGTGCGTGGAAGGCGGCAGCTTCCTTGTTTCCGGTGTTCTTGGATTTTTGTATTATGCTACTATTTTGATAAAAGCTGAGTTTCAGTTAAATGTCACTGTCTGCACCAAATTCTGTCTGGAAGTGTATGCATATTGTTAAGCCCAGTTTCCTGGTCTGCTTCTGCAGACAGATGCATGATACCTGCTCTGTGACGTAACGTGGTTTGCTACAAGAAGCAATGGCTCTGCAAGAGGGACACACTTTTTTTGACACGGTGAAAGTGTTACTGGGAATAAATGGATGCATGAGGGGAAGAGGTGCACATCTTGTCAAGGTTACCTCTTGTAGATAGTGTGTGTAAAATCTAGGCTTAGAGTAGGGCTTTATTAAGCCTGATACTCTTAAAAGTGCAGGCAGTTCACAGAAAGAAAGGGTAGTTTTGTTCCCCTCCCTCCCATTTCAAAGTATTTGATCTAGAAATATTGTGGCCAAATTTCAGCTATATTGTGAAAGCTATCATTGCTTTCATCATTATCAGAAGAATACAAAAAATATCCCATTTGCATTCTGACTTTGCCTGAAGCTACGACCAGATGTGAGTATTCAGCTGCACTGAGGCTTTGCAATAATTATTTCATTTTAAAATCAGACAGTTCTATATTCAGAAATAATTCACCTTTGAACTGAATCACTATTTAGCGTTCCTGGAACACTGAACAAAACGCTGAGCACAGTGCAGAAAGTTTCAGTGCATCACAAGATGACGTTACAGTTCAGAAGGCTGTTTGCAGTCGTGATGGGGGATAGTATTGCTATAGCTTTAAGTTATTGGCATGATGTCAGGCTATCAAAATGTACCTTAATTACTAGAACTGTGGGGGTGGGAGGAGAGGAGGAAGATAGTGAATTCAACAGTTTTGCCTAGAGACTGCACAGGCAAGGCTGCTATGCACTCATACTGCTTTTTCAGGTATTGTGGCAATAAGGCACAGGCCCCTCCTGAACTAAGGGAGGTAAACTGAATATCCTTTCTTCTACATAGCGCTCCCCTTCTCTGTAGCATGGTCCAAATCCTAGATTCATTCCTTAAGTTTTGAAACAGAATCATCATGCGTTATATTACTATTGGAATCTTTATACTGACTTGTATTTTTAATGAGAATTCATAAAACTTGTACATTGGCATTGATCTAAGATTTGTAGAATAAACCCTACTGAATTCTGAAGTCAAGTCTTCTCTAGTGCTTAGGCTGTGTATTTTCTGATGTTCTGTTAAACCCCAGTCTATTCAGGCCTAAATTGAAATAGAACAGTGCATAGCACTGGCTCAGCCACCCCCTCGTGCTGGCAGAGCATATCAGGAGCAAAACAGTTGTAATACATTTCCTCTTAAATTGTTTCATTTTCAGAGGTTGAGAACTTCTGCCTCATGAGGAGTCTACACCATTATTCTCTACAGCTGTGCCCGTTACTGATCACAAAAAGCAGGCAAGGCTCCATGGATTAATATTCTGCTTGTTCCTTATATCAATGTAGCAGCTGTTGTTCCAGGAATGCTCACAGGCTGCTTTGTCAGCCATTCGCATCCAAGCTTTCCTCATAGCAGAGGATAACTTGAAGCAGATATTAACACAAGTCTGGCTTAGCTTATCTGCAGCCCGTAAATTTAAGCAATGAAAATACTTGGAAACACCACAAAAATACTGCACTTTTCCTCTCAACAAGAACTCTGCAACAGCCAAGGGAAGGAAGTGAAATTGTTTCCCTGGAGCCATTCCTACGAGTGGCTGCCTGCATGCTCAGAGCAGCTCTCTAGACGGTGACCTTCAACTTCCCAGCGAGGCAAAGCACCGTGCAACTTACTTCCTCCCACCCCCTTGCAATAAGGTGCTTTTACAGCTGCATTGTCCCATATTTATACTGTAACTACATCCTTACAGCTTCTATCCTGAGGTACTGTTATTAGCTAGAAAGCACACCTTATCCTTTGCCAGATCTCTCAAACAGCACTTCATCCAGAAAGTCACTTCTGCAAGCAGCAGAGGTGACAGCAAGAAAGTCTGAGTTTCCCGTTACCTCTCCTGTCTCTCTCAAGGTAAAACCTTACTCAAATGTCCCACTACCCGCAGGCAGCATGTGAAGGGGCTTTGGAGCCCAGTCTGAAGCACAGTTTCAGAGGTGAGACAGTTCTTAACCTGATTCCAGGCTCTAACCACACAGTAAAATATAGTGATTGATAGAAACAGAACACAGCAACTTCAGTTTTTGACAGCAGTCAGACATCAGAGGATCTACAGAGGTGTTTGTCCATAAACTCTAACAAATAATGGCAGACATGCTCCTGCAGTAGAGGTTAAAAAGCTGGGGAACCTTTAGGTTGTCTATTTCCTCCATCTTTTTCAAGACACTGCATTTCCCTCAGCTACCTCTGAACACATCACTTCCAGAAAATAGCCCTCGTATGAAACACTGCAAAGGCAAATCACCATTCTCCTTGCTAACAACCTAAACAGAAAATACCATGTCAAGGCTCCCTTGGGCTCTCATCTGCTGCAGAAGGGCCAAACACGTCAGCAGCAGGGCAGACAGACAGCACAGTGCTCACAAAGCACCCAGAGCCCTCCCTGCCATGGACCAGGGCTGTAGAGCCAATGCAGCAGGCACCCTGCAGGCAGTCAGAGCTCAAATGTGTACAGAGGCTCTTACCTTTGCACCCCTTCAAATGACACAAGGCAGGTTTAGGATGATGACTGAACTGCACAGTGTCATGGTAAGGCAGTGATGTGAAAGACAGAAGAACACAGCTGAGGCTGAAGCTCTTTGCTGGCATCCTCCCAGCCCACATGTCCTTAGCTGCTACCTTTCTCACACAACAACCATCCCCATCCCCTCCAAAAACCACACAGGGCCAACTGCACCCACAGCTACGCATTTCAATCCTTAAACAGCAAGGGAAAGTGTCCTGCCTTTAGCAATGCTCATTGTCTTTTCTGCCCTATGACTACCAGTCCACACCAGTTTGACAGGTTTCTGACCACAGATTTCAGAGATGAGAGCATTTCGAGGCTATAGCTTCTGCTAACACAAGATCCAAATACACTCCATCACTCCAGGAACTAGCCAGATATCAGCAGGTTTCACGTGAAGGAGCTGCTCCTCAGCATTGCACAAGGAGTGGTGCCTCGGGATTTGCATCCTCACTGCAGCATGAAGCACAGCATGTTTCCTTCCTCCTGCCCCAGGCTACAACTCCAGCTGACTGGAGTAGCCAGATAAGGGAGAGCTGATAACAGTTTCATTGCACACATGGCACATCCTGTGATCAGAATTGACAACTCTGACACCGCAGTCCACAGTACACACTTTCCACTGGGGACTCCTCCCATTTCTACCTTTGCCCAACTTCTGCTGATAATAAATTACGGAAATTAGCACCAAGTTGTAAAGTCACGTGCTCTGTAACTGACAACCCCCGGGCCTGGGCACAGCCAAGCCACAGTCCCCTGCCTGCCACATATGCAGGCACCATGCTCTCCTCCCCTTGCAGTCACGAGCTGATCATCCAGTGAGCCAGCAGCAGATGAGGAGGGATGGTGCCATCAGGTTGACTGTGTGCACAAGGTGTGCACGCAGCAGGGGCAAAGATTTGCTGTTTAGTTCTACCAACGCACGTCACAGCTGGTGAGCACCAAGCACCCTGCTTTGCAAGAATGGAGCATACACAGCATGGCACTGTGAGAAATGCACTTTCTTTACAGCACTGTAGCATGGGCATCTGGACATGAGACAAAGCAGGCACCCTCCAACACTTCACACAGAGTAGATGTCCACACGTGTCTTGAATACTTCCTTAGAAGGAGACTCCACAACCTCTCTGGGCAGCTTGTTCCAGTGCTCTGTCACCCCTACTGTTAAGAAAGTTCTTCTGCATGTTAGTATAGAACTTCCTGTGTTCAAGTTTCAGGCCAACTTATCTCAACAAAAGCAAACACACCACAGTCCAAAGACTAACACAGGAATTACTACTACATTTTGTAATAGCCATTCTTAGGTGATTGGCACTGCTTTACACCAACACACTGGAGTGATGGAACAAGAACCAACTGTGAGAGCTGGGATCCAAGCCTTAAACAAATGCCTGTTCAGCTCTAAGTATGGGGACATCACTATTTAGCAACGCAAGAGTCATTTTTCCACAAGGAATCCCTACAGACACAATCCTTCTCTCCTGTATCTCACACTCTTTATCTCAACGTGCAAAGTCTGGAGGAGATGCAGAAGAGGCAGCCAGCTTCTTTGCAGCCTTCCTGGAAGGAAGGGTGACCCATGGAACAGCACAGCCTTCATACGGGTCAGTGGCCAATTGTGTTTGGAGACCTGCCAGATACACCCCTCTCA